GGGGGGGGGGGGGGGGGGGGGAGCTTCACGGCTCAACACGAGGGGTATATTACTCTAAAAAATGCGTACGAACATTTTTAGATAAAAAAATCCCTGCAATATTTCTTGGGATTCTGGGATTTTTTTGCCAAATTTTCAGGGATTTTGGGATGAATAAAAAAAAGGTCATCAAACTTTAAGATTGCGAATAAGAATAAGATTATGTTAGGGTTAGGGCTCAACATGTGTCGCGAATTTATTGTATTGATAATGTCGGACGTGTTTAATAATTTACTCATATAGTAAATTCGAAGGTGCAGCTCATGTGGAGATTTTCAGAGTAATTTACCCCTATACTTTTCATTTTCATTTGGGTCAACGTAGCACTGTTTGTTTAATTTTTTCGTAATTTTAGCTACATTTGTTAGATTTTTATCAGTATCAATCAAATGTTTTAGTTTCTTTCCTTCCTATCCAACTGGGATTAGATAATTTGCCCATTACCTGCAGTTGATTGGAGTGTTCCGCACCTCCTACCCCCTTTTAGCGCCGCCCCTGCCTGTGTTGACTTTTATAAGAGGGAATGTCGAGAATGTGAGAGGATATGAGAAAGCAGGCAGATGTAGCTTTTTCAACAAGGTTGCCATTTTACTAACGATCAAAACGGCCCAGCCCATCTAAAATTCATGCTTCACTACTGGGGCAAGCCAAGGGCCTACCGGGGTAAATGCGCCAGTAGTTATAAGCAGCATGCATACATCCCCTTTACGTCAGCAGCAATATGTTTCTGCGCAGATGAGTTGGAATCATGGTGCTCTAGAATAGAACAAAACTTGGGTAAGCTGTTCCTGTCCCCATTTTCCTATATCATTCGCGAGATTTCGCGCCGAATGGTCCTACCGTATATAGAGCATCATATGTGATCTTCCATGGGAAAAGGTACGTTAACGGTTTTGAAAAACGTTCTGAAAAAATCGTTCGTTATCCGTTCGTTATCCGTTTAAACGCTTTAGCCTTCCGTTGAAACGATTTTTGAGATCGTTCAGACTCATGCATTTAATGAACCGTTCGAACGGTTGGATAAAAACGTTTGAAAAATGTTGCTAAATCGTTCGAACGATTTGTACAAAACGTTCAAATACGTTCATAAAGCCGTTTAAATGCCTTAAAGAATATCTTTACAATGGTTAAGCCGACTTTGTAGGCGTCATATCAAGTAGGCGTCTAAAAGTTTATCTGAAGCCGCTTGCCTTGTAAGATTTACAAAAGAATACTATTAGACAAGTATTACACCATTACGGACAGCAGTATAATATAAGTTCGCCACCCTTCAAAATATTAAATATTCTAAACGTCGAAACTGTTGCGGTGAAATACTGCAACAATATATAATTGAGCAAAATGTTTCTCATATGTTAAAAGGTGGTTTAATTAAAATAGACGCCGCGAGCTTGCCGTTTCCGTCTTTTAATAGCATTAGCTTTGTGTCAACTAATTCACTTAAGAGACAATCTCCACTAAAACCGAGAAAAATCGAGAATACGTGGCACATGAGGAAAAATAAAAAATCTTCTTATTTTTTCCAGTGATACTCTAATGTGCACTCAGAAACGCGGTGGGGTTTGTTTTCTGAAATATTATTTTAAACGCCGAAAATTATCAAAACCTCACACATACCCGAGATTCGCGAAATTAGCAAAAAAAATTGTGAGCTACGGCCTCTCGAAAATTTCGTTTTTCTCAATTGGCGTGTGATGAAACCTCACCTTTCGTTTTTAAACGTGTTTATAAGATGTTTATAAAGAACGTGGGTCCAATTTGCAATTTTTGAAATGATTTTTCAATCCAGGTGATCTCGTGTTCGTATTTTAGCCAATCAGCACTCAGAAAGGGTTGTCCGAATAGAAATCCATTTTGATGTATTCAGTCAATTATATCTTTCGTTATTCTTTATAAAACTAGTTGAAATTTTGTAATTATGTTTGGTTATGAGAACTATAGCTCTGACAAAAATATGGAATCGAAATAAAGTATATTACAGGAGATATTCAGTTGTTTTAATCATAAAATGGATTTCTATTTGACAACTAGTGCCAGTACTTTTCCGCGTATCAAGATCACCTGGATGTCAAGACAAGCGTGTAAAAATCGTCTTTTTTTGCGATCCAAAAAATTCTAAATTGTTACACTTTTTGAAAATTAATTTCCTGTATCCGCGAAAACTCCAATTTCCTTGAAATTTACGGAATTTAAAGAGAAATTCTTGCTCTAAAACCTGATGTAAAAATTATTTTGGGGCTTTTTGTTACCGCGGAATTATACTGACTAAAATATCGAGAAAATCACAAAAAAACCCTTAAAAATCCTCAGACAATTAGGCACGTTGCTTCAACTATAGACAGTCGAACCTTAATCATTCTTGCTTGTTTTCTCTTGTTATTGATAGGAAATATAAGACGTAGATCATTTTAAACTAGTTTGCCTATTTCTAGATAAAAATACGCTGTTAAACTCTCCAAGACTAAGATTTCTGCTTCAAATTCTTGTTTCAATTGATCGATCCATGCGCGCCAATTAAAATAAACTAGAAACACTTGTGCACTCGCTAGATTCAAGGCTATATATACTTACTATAAACAGTCAATTACTTATATTTGAGCATGTTGTGCTCTAAGCAGTTCAGTTTAAGCGTCAAACTTCGGCCTTATTTTCATTGAAGCCGGGCAAGTTCAGTCGTTCAATTAAAGGGACAGGGCCGTTCCTAGCGTGATAATTGGGGGTGTATGTTCATATATTCGTCTTCTGCCCGACGGATTTCTTTTGAAAGCGATTGTTTTTACGGTAGCGAGCATGAATATATGAATATACCCCCCCCCCCATTATCGCGTCTAGGAACGGCCCTGTTGAGGGATATGATCGGAAATAGCATGAATATAGAAATTAGATTCCCTTATCTGAAAGAACTTTTAAAATGATTTGGAAAACATTTTAAAGCTTTTTTTTAAATCTCGCTTATTTCTCGACCTTAAGAAAAGCTTCTGTTGTGATGGAGCTAAACTGTGGAACTGATTACCTAAATGCAACTGACGCTTATAACGAGGGTCGAGGGTCGTACGTCGAGGTCGGGGGTCGAAAATAGTAAATTTTTATCCATTTTAAAAGTTTTACAACCATTTTGAAAGCTTCCAAAAGCGGCAAAACAATTAGTTTTGCTCTCAAAACTGAAAAATTTCGCCTACGGCTGTAATCTATATGTATACTGAAAGTTTCGCTGAAGAACTATAAGTCTGTTGCGAGGTTTGATGTTTGA